CTACACGACGCTCTTCCGATCTCCCCAAAACCCCAAAACCCCGCTAGGTTGATATTAATATTGAGAGATGTAAGAAAATATAAGAATAAAAATTCACTTGATTATATGAGTATCATATTTTTGAAGTTAAGGGTGCGCTTTGAGAATGCCTGATATCAAAGTGTTAAGATTCTGACAAATATTTAGGACCTAGTTGTTATAAGTATTGATAGCTTAATTGTCGCTTTCAAACTCAATTATGTGGGATTTCTAATCAAGAATGGCCTTCAATCTATTCTCACTGGCCATTTGAGCAATAATGAATTCTGCCTGCTCTGGAGATATTTCAAGGAATCTTCCAAGCTCCTCAAAAGAAATATTCTTGTAGATCTTAGAAATTACCTCGATATTGTGCTCTATTAATGCTTTTTCAAGTACTGAATATCCTTCTTATGAGACAGTCTTTTAATGATCTTGCAATTAGTCTTCGAATGACTTAACATCGGGCTTTTTGATGATTTTACCCATGAACATTTTGTCTAAAATATCGAACTGTTCTAATTTTGGGCTTCTTGGATCCTTATGTAAAACTGATAAAATTCTAGCTTTTTAAGGACCTGCCGGTGATAGAATGGCACATGTTGTAGCCATGCCTAATAAAACAAGCAGATCAGATGGATCAACTCCTTCTTGATTAGACAACTCGTAGTATGAGAAGGAAGCAATAAGGAATTTTCTCTTAGAGTCCATAATTCTAGCATGGCAAACCTTGTATCTTATTCTGACAGCTTAATCCTTCACAATGTGAATAATGTGAGCAGCCTTATTAATGAACTTTTCAGCATTAACAGCGTCATCATCTTCAAACCAATACTCAGCAGTTTAAACCTAGAGTTAAGCTTTCTCATCTGTATCTACTTATCTTGAAATACTGTCCAAGTTAATTCTTTCAAGCATTTTAGCTGCCTTTTCAAAATCTCTTCTAGCTGCATGTATCTCTGCCACTTACTTTTTAATGCTTGCATCCTTATTTCAAATTAATAAATATAATTTTTACTTCATCTTCAAAAGTGTTTTGTCTACTAGCCATTCTATCGATTGAATGTTGTCCCACAATAAGTGCATCATCATTATTTAGCTTTGACAGACCTTAAGATATCTGGCTCAACACTGATCTGCTAATTGAAACTTAGACATCATCATTGGTGACTATATTAAATTTATTCATATATTCATTTAAGAGGTATTACTGTGATCAACCAAATTCTTTAAGTCTTGAATAGCCTTTTTAGATACTAGATCCTGGGCTAGCTGGGTATAGGCTACTGATTTATCAGCAGAACCAGTCTCTATTTATTGAATTCTTTGGCCTAAATCTGACATTAAAATATTTATAATTCTATATTCATTTTTAGAATTAAATGCTGCTTCATGGGGTTTTGGGGTTTTGGGGTTTTGGGGTTTTGGGG